AGACATTAATAAAAATATAATTAATTTATAATTGATATTTAGATTTAATTATTAATTTATTTTTTAATAAATATGTGATATGTAAATTTCATTTTTTTATTTTTTTAAATTAATAGACATTTTAAAAAATATTCAATATTTATGTATTAGTTAATTCTATGATTAATTTATAATATATAAATTGCATTGTTATTGTTTTAATTAATAGACATTTTATAAAAATATTCAATATTTATGTATTAGTTAATTCTATGATTAATATATAATAGATTAATTCCATTTTTATTGTTGTAATTAATAGAAATTTTATAAAAATATTCTTTATTTATGTTTTAATTGTATTTATCATTAATTTATAATAGATAACTTTCATTTTGATTTTTTGAATTAATTATTATTTATAGATATATTTATATTTAATATTTAATTTATTTTTTAATAAATATATGATAGATTCTATTATTAATTAATAATTGATAAATTTTCTTTTGCCTTTTTGCATTAATTAAAAATGATAAATATATTTTATATTTAAATATTAATTAAAAATTGATTAATATCATTTTGATTTTCTTAATTAACAAACATTAATTACAATATTCTATATTTCTGTATTAATTAATTCTATGATTAATACTTGAAGAATGAAATATTAAGATTGATAAATTCACGAGAAGACCAGCAAAAAGAAAATATAAAATCTATAACACTACCTAAATAAATATCTATTGACATATTTTATTTGGTTAAATTGTATAATAATACTAATATAATTTATTTTACGAATTAATAGATATTCATTTTTTTAATATTTTATGATTTAGAAATTTTGATATTAATATAAAAAACATAATTTAATAATATTATTTTGTCAACAACAATTTTATGTCGGTGTATTTTCTAAAATAAGTTTATTTAAATTATTGTATAGGAAAAGGTAATAATAATTTTTAAATCTGTAATATTTTTACCTGAAAAAAACCATTATAAAATATATAAAATTACATAATGGATAACTAAATAGCAATATTTGTATATTCAATTTTTTATAAATTCTTATAGGAGCAAGATGGATTTCTTTTATTTTTTGATACTGAGATTAAATATACTTGCTCTTCTCAAGATTTTAGGAGCTACTAAAAGTAATTAGGAAAATTTACATAGAATAAAATTGTTTACACAATATTAAAGTTGTGACATCCTTAAATCTTTTTTGGATAAATTCAAATAATCTTTGACTCGATATCTAAATTTAGATTTAAATGAGGAGGTATTCTGATATCAAATTTTAAACAATAAGTGATAAAAAATCTTATGTTTGAAGTTGGTTGATAATATTTAATATTCTTTTTTGTTGATTATCCTTTTTAAAAAGAAGAATAAATTTTCTTATATTTTTAATTATATGTAATGCTCAATAAATTTTGTTGCTCAATTTGCTTTGTTTTACTTCAAAGAAATAATTTTTCCTCAAAATGTTTAAGAACTGTTTCTATTTTATTAAAATCTATTTCAAATGAGCAATTTATTCTTTAATTTGTATTCTCTCCTTAAAATAGAAAAAAGAAATAAATTTCAAAATTAAATTGAAATAGATAAATTTAATATTTCCAATTCTGGTGAAATTAAAAACAAATGTGATTAAAATATCATTTTTTCTTTAAATGCTTTAAACATTGTAGTTTTTTATCTTGAGCTTCAAAATGACTTGGAGTTGAGTTCAATACTTGCTCAAATTATTAAAGTGCTTATTAGTAGTTTTTTGTGAAAAATAAATAATTTCCTAAATTTACATACCAGAAATACCTTTTGTTAATAATGATTTTACATGCTTTGGATTTAAATTTAAAGCTTAATCTAAATATTAAATTGCTTAAGATTCCATATCAGTCATAAATAAGCATTCACCTAATTTAAAAAATATTTTTTTTTATACCCTTCATAGACAATAGATCTACTATTTTTTATATATTTTCTGTAATTTTATCTATTTGCAATAAAGCTTGGAAGTATTCTTTTTTATTCATTAATATTTCAGCTTATGAAATAGCACATTTTTTACCTTTTTTAAATATCAAATCAAAATTATTTGGATTATGAATCAAGGCTTAATCTAGAACTCTTAAGCTTTCTTAATAATTTCCTAAATTAAGTAAGCATTCAGCTATTAATATTGAAATTTAATCTGACATTTTATTATTAATGTTTGTAAATCATAAGAGTTGATTCCTTTAATCATTTCAAGTGCTTCCTATTATTTGCCCAATAAACTCAAGCATTTTGCTATCTATGAAATTATAATCATACCTCCAATTTTTAAAAGATTTTAATTTTAAGAGTCAATCTCCAATCCTTATTTTATCCATTTAATAGCTTCCTATTACTATCCATAAAAGCTTAAACACTAAGCTAAAAATCATTTATTAATTAAACCTTTTCTCCAAATTGAATTTATATGTTCAGGGTTAATTTACAAAATCTCATCAACCAAATTTATGGCATCTTTATGCTTACCTAAAAGACTTAAACATTCAGCTGATAAATTTGAAATAAATTTACCTTTTCTCCAAAACAAATCGATATTTTCTTGATTTACCTTTTAAAAGGAGTCTAATACTTTTAGAGCTTCTAATTGTTTTCCTAATAAACTTAGACATTCAGCTGTCAATTACGAGTAAATTTACCTTTTATGGACAATGAATCAATATGTTTAGGATCAATAGCAACTGCTTTTTCTATAATTTTTAGAGCTTCCTCGTATTTTCCTAATTAATTTAAACATTCAGCTATTTTTATATTAATTTTACATACACTTTCGACATAATGAATCCAAATGCTTATCATCAATATTTAAGGCTTAATCAATCCATCTGATTGCCTCACTTTACCTCCCCAATAAACTTAAACAACTAGCTAAAAATAAATGAGTGAAAGTTACATTTACACCACAAAGAATCAATATTCTTTTCATTATGTTAAAGAGATTAATCTAAGGCTTCTATTGCTGATTCAAATTTATCCTCCAGATATAATTAATAACCTAATTTCATGATTGTTTGAAAATACCTTGTTCAAAGTAATAATCCGATTTATTTTCATCTTTCTGACTACTTGAGATATTGAATTCAATTTTAAAATCCTCTATATTCTTATTTAAATTTTCGAGATTTATTTTAATTTCATCTACATGCATTGATAAATCTCTTATTGCTATCAACTAGCATAAATATTCATGTATTTGATTTCCATCAAAATCCTAAATTTGTTATTCTGATAATAAATATTTCTCAAGCAATCCTTTTATGAGTTTATCAAAATTAGATTAAAGCTATCCATACAATTATTCAAGCTTCATAATAATTTCTTCTTAACATTATTTTTATTAATTTTTTATGAATTCGAATATCTTGTCTATTTTTCCCTAATCTTTATGATTATGATGTCTGTGTTCATTATAACACTCTTCACACATGACCCTTTTACCTTCTATACAATTTTTGAAATAACAAAATCTTTCAATCCTATTTTAATGTTCTTAAACTGGGCACATTACTTGATCCATGATTGTGAATGAAAGTAATTAATAATTAAATTATACATTTTTTTTTTAATTTTTAGCATTGGAAAATTGGAAGAAATTCAATTGTTTTATGGGATTAAAAGTGATTTGATTGTAAAGAAAAATAAACCTTCTAAGAAATTAATCAATATATTTATTGAAAATAAAAATGAAAAAGCTTCATAATATAATAATTTATTATTTTCCCTTAAATATTAGAATTCTCATACAAAAAAGGATATATACCTTATTTCTTATTTATCAATGTGTTTTTATACTCTTAAAGCTTAGTGAAAATGACCTTGTAACTTGTATATACTATTTCAAATTTAATAGAATATAAGTAATAAGTTAAGCTTTAATATTAACCCTAAATAAATCTTTAATATACCTGTATTATTTCAGGCATTTGATTTACATTGTTATTAAAGGCTTTATTATAATTAGAAGTAATAAAAAGCGCTTTTTTAAATACTCTATGGGCTCTTCAATTATTTTAGGAATTTTATTATGATACTATCATCAAAAGAAAAAATCCATTACAACCTTTTAAATAAAGGATTTGTAATATATTAGATTGATGACTTATTAATCATTTATTTATTGTGAAAAAAATTTTAGATTTCAAAATCTAATCAGTAAATATATCTTGCTTTAATTTTACCTAAATTATAACAATTTATCTAAAAAAAATGCTTTATTTTCGTGATATAATTTTCCTAAAATTAATATTTGTTCTTCAAAATTTTAAGAATCTCTATTTAATTTTTCAAAAGTTACTATGAGTTAATGATTTCAGGATCTATGAATTAAAAATGAAGATCAAATACTTGTTTGAATTTGTCAATTTATGTTAAATTATTAAAGTATAAATAAAAATTTTAGAGAATCATTATTTATTTAAAATCAAATCATATTTTGTTTTTATCTTTATTTTGAGTTTGATTGATAAATTGATTTCCAAAAATTCGTTTGATGTAATTAATTGATTATAAAATTCACAAAATCAAATAGGATGATATTTTTAAATATCCAAGATTGATTGATAGATAAATAAATGCAATCTTTTAAAATTGGAGAAAAGATCAAATCAATCCATAAACTAATTACTTAATTTATCAATATGCAACTTTTTTATCAATAATATTCATTATCTTTTATATTAGTATTTTCCCTCAGTCATTATCATATAAATTAAATTTATCTATCAACTTCCAATTTTTTTGCCATTTTTATATACCCCATTGCAAACAACTTAATTTGAACTAATAAATTAATTCTAAAAATATAAACCTTTTAAATCCATCACTCAAATCTATCCATAAACCATTCTTTTAGAAAAATTAATCATATGATCCTCCACCACTTTATTACAATAAATTGATAATTTAATTACATATTTGATCGACTATCTAAAATAATATCTTATTTCCCAACTTTTTGACCATTAGTATATTCACCACTAAAAGTGACTTAACAATTACTAATTTAATAATTTAAATAAATACTCTCTAAAACTATTAATCAAATCTACCATCTACCATTTTTTAATCCATTTTCATAAAAACCTCCTTTACTATGTATTAAAAAATAATTTCATAACATTTATTTTCAAGGTTAATCATAATTATATTTGTAATTAATATCCCATTAACCAATTTTTTTGTCATATTTATATTCATCCTTATATATGACCTAACTCCAACTACAAAAATCATTCGAAAATAAATACTCATAAAAACCATTACTTAAAATCACCCATAAACCATTCTTCTATCCCTGTTCATAAGAACCACCACCACTTTAAATAAATTACATATAATCTCAATACATTTATTCCCAAAGTTTATTCTAATTTTATCTGTAATTAATATCATATCTCCCAATTATTTAACCATTTTTATAAAGACAATGATACGTGACTTAATTTTCTCTAATAACATTAAAATCTAAGGATTAAATACTCTTTAAAACTATCATTGAAATATATCCATTTTTCATGCTTTAAACCTTAATTGTCTTATGCTCCACCACCGCTATATAGATAATTTATGAGCAAACATTAATTCCCAAAGCTTCTTATTCCATTATTTGAAATCGATATCCCATACCCCAATTTTTCGACCATTCTTATATTCTCCTTTATGAAGGACTTAACTTGAACTAATATTTTAATTCTCAAAATTTTAATACCAATAAAATCCATTGCTCAATTCAACCCATTTACATTTTTCACATCTTCTAAGTAAGAACCTCCACCACTAAAATTAAAATAGATTAATTAAATTACATTTTCACTAAAGGATTTAGACTACTTTCTCTATAATAGAAATACTAATGACCTATTTTTTCCATTTTAATTTTCACCTTTATGATAGATTTGACTTGAACTAAATAAATTTAATTTCTTTAAACTAAGATACCTTGAAAACCCATTGCTAAATTCAATCCACAGATTCCATTTTAGAAACCTTATATTTTATAAAATCCACCACCACTTTTTGTAATTTTTAATAACTTTTACATTGAATGGAATTATTTACGAATATCTTCACTAATGTTGATATTCCATCTACCTTTTACCTTTTATATATTCACCATCAAAAGTGACTAAATTTTATCTAATTAAAATAGAAACCTTAAACTATTAAATAGTCCTTAAACCCTTCATCCAAATCAGTCCATTACCTATTCTTGAATCCTTACTCATAAGAATCACCACAACTAAATATTTAAGTTTATAATTATACATAACTCTATATTTGTAAATGTATTTCCAAATTCCTTTTTTCTGATTATTTAAGTATTCTCCAACTTCTTAAATTTAGGCTCGAATTTTAATGAATAATAAATAAATATAAACGTACTCCCAATAATTTTCAGACAAATCCTGCCATTAACCGTGTTTTTTTCCATCATTTGAATACTACCCACCCACACCTTTCAATATTTCACCTTTCCATATTGCATTCGATTTAAAAACTTTTTTGAAGAAGAAGATAGAAGTGATCATTTCAGATATTTTATTTATTCTAAATTTTTTATAATATCTGGATTTTTAGAAATATCAATAATTGAATCACTAATTAATAATAAAATAATAATTTTTACATTCTTAGAATAGATCCATCATCTGAGATATATTTAATTTCTTTATTTTTTGTAAATGTAATGTAAAATTTAGTATTTAAACATCTTTGATTCACCTCATCCCATACAACTTCTTATTATTTTTTAGTTCCTTGCAAACATTCATTTCCATGATCTTGCATCTTAAAAAAATAATTAAATATTGTTTTTTTACTCTTCTTATTATCACTAAATAAATAATCAAAAAAAATAAATACAAGCTATAATCAAAGATGAAAATTAGTGTAAAACTTCTTAATCCATCAAATTCACAAATAGTAATTGAAAATTGAGAAATAAAAATAATTTAAGTAATTTTTATTTAAATTTCTCAAAACTTGATAAGTTTAATCTATAATATAATATTATAGTTCGTAGAAAGTAGATATTTTTAATCTAAAGAATATCTTATGTAAAAGGTTAGAAAAAATCTTTGAATGTTAAAACAAGTAATAGAACTACAGAATGAATTCCAAATTAATTATACTATTAAATAGCAATAAAATAAAAAAATATACTACGTTAGTCTAAATTATAATAGAAATTTATGGTTACACTAAGTTTAAGTTAGTTTTTTGCTTATCTTTTTGGTAAATTTGTTAAAATTTAACAAAGAGAAATCTATTAAATCTTTTGGCAATTTAAGTTTATTAGTATATTTTCAATATTTAATATTAATTTTTCTAAAATCTGATTCTTATGAATCTAAAAAATTGTAGCCAAAATGAATCTGAATCTCAAAATAATATTCTGAAAGAATTAGATCTTACAAACTTAAAATTAGATTTGTAATTTGGGGAAACTTTTTTGAATCTACTTTCTCTGTGTAACAATAAAAAATTTATCTTTTTGGTATATTATCGTGTGCAAAGTTTATTATCTAGAAACATTTATTTCGAAAATTTCAAATCTCTCTCATTTAGGTTATTATATTTGAGGAAATCTTAAAACTCATATTCATAAATTATTTAAGGTAACAACTTAAAAAATTGTTTTTTTAAGAAAAATTATCAATAACTTAGTAAACTTTGACTCTGAAATAAAGTCTCTATTTTTTCAAATCAATTATTCATGCTAAATAATATCTGACGAGAATTTATAAATCTTATATTGAATATATAGATTTAACAAAGCTTTTTTTCTGATTTGGGTTATTACCAATATTTAACATGAGGGTATTTGAAATCCATAAAATTAAATTTTAACAATCCTATCTGGTTGATTAATATTTTTATTTTTTTCTGACCCTTAACACTGAAGAATCGTGAAAATTTCTTTTGATAATAAAAGAGTACAAGGCTTTCAAATTATTATATTTATATACTTAATAAAAAGAACTTAATTTTTATATGTATTAAGTGAAGTTTGAAATTGAATTAATTTTCTATAATGAAAAAGATATTTTTAATCATTACAGTAATTAATATTAATATATAAAAATAAATATCTAATTTAAACCTATATGTCATTTAAAGAAGAGAAAAAAATTTGTTCTAAAAATTAATTAGAGATAACAACTATAGATTAAAAATAATTAACTGTTAAGGAAGATAAATATTAATGTATAAAATTTTTAATTGAAAAAATTTATAGTAATATGGTTTTGGTAGATTAAACTGAAATTATGATTAAGGAAATGAAAAATTAAATAATAAAAATAAAGGAAAACTAAAAAAGAATAGAAAATATTAAATAAATTGAATGTCTCATCAAATAATTTAAAGGTTAAATTAAATATGTTAAGGATAATATACTAATTAATATTCATTCAAGAATATAAACAATTAAAAAGGATTTTGAAGAATATGATTCAAATTCTAAAATTTATAAATTTGAAGATGAAGGTGATTTTTATCAAAAATTATAAAGGTATTTTAATTTTGAAATTTCTTTTGGAATTAGATAAATAAGATGATAATTATTTATATGATTTTATTAATTAATGTTTGAATCATTTATAAATAATTAATAATATTTAAATATAAAATGTAATAAACATTGAAAAAGAGATTATAATGTTTAATTTAGAATAAAATGATGCAGATATATCAAGATTAATATGTGTAGATTGTATTCATTATAATGATTCAATTAAATATACATCAATTTAAGATATTAATATTAAATTAAGTAAAAAAGATAAATTTAAAAGTTTAAATGATTTATAAATTAATATAGAATAAGAAGATTAAATAAAATATAATTTATTATTTAATAATCTTATTAATTTATTTGAAAAGGAATTATTAAAAAAAGAAGATATATTAAATATATTCGATTAGAATTATTTAAACATTAATAATATTTATAATATTAATAATAATAATTATTATTATTATAATAATAATAATTTATTTCTTTATTTTATGAATAAGATCAATTTTGGCAAGGCCTTGGTTACTTTTATTTCTTTTGAGGCTGTTCCGATTTTTCCTCTCAAATCTTTCCCTATTATTGTAGAGTGCGTCGCCATTGTTCAAATCTGAGCGCATCTATTTATATCTCAGTATATTTCAACATGACTTCCTAGCCGCATTCTTTATCAAAAACAGCTTTCAATGCTAGAAGTTGGTCTCTGCTATGAAGGAAGAGGTGGGAGAGCTACAGGAGTAAGCCCTGGATACTAAGTTTGGCCAGGCTTAGTAAGAGATCTTTAAGGTTTAGCCAAAGGTGTCTAGAGTATAAGCCCATGAATATTATGAGAGGAACCAGGAGGTATAGACTTCTTATCTGTCTGGCACATATGAGTCGTATAGGACTAAAGGTTTTTAGACCCCCTTTGACACTGCTCGCACCTGTAAGGCACTATTGTAGTACCAAGTAACGGATTGCCTGCTTGCTATGCCCTGCGATGGCTAGGCTAAGCTTTTCCAAAATCCTTTTAAATATTTTATTGCCCTTTGGATCAGGCTTCTATCGAGTTAGCTCTTGAAGTTACTAGTGTAATGTACGTGTTCATTCATTTGGATTGACTGACAGGGCCTGTTTATCTCTTTTCCTTGCTTGTACTTCGAGTTTTTGAGGGCTTTTGCTTTTTCTTCTCTTCCTTTTTTTTCTTTCCCAACGTGCTTTTCCTTCCAGAACTTTCTAATTCCTTCTTCTTTTCCCTAGACTCAAACCAGGACTTAAACTCGTCAGGGAACCAGGTAATTAAACTCATCTTAGTCAGATATCGCTTCATCCCCCATAGCATGTCGTTTATTCTAGATCCAACATGACAACTAGAAATATTTGGTGCACTAAACTCACAGAGGTCGTCCAAAGCTTCGAAGTAGGTATGAAAAAGACCAGCGAAGTGGCTAGTCCACGAATTCTCTGGGTACATAGGCATGAAATCAGCTTGAACGCTAAATTGTTTGGTATTCTTTTTCTGGCCACAATAATTAAAGAAAAAAATAATTAATAATAATAAGAATAAAAATAATAATATTACTTAAAATAAAATGAAATATTTAATAAGATTTTAAAATTTAATGTTTATTATAACATTTTCAATTAAACTTTTAAATTTATATAAATATATTATTTAAGATTTATGAATTAATAATGATATTTGAATTATAGAAATAAGAATAAAATATAATAGAATTAGATTAATTTATTTCCAAATTTATTAAAGATGCTATCTAATTAATAAGAATTTTATGAATTGATTAATTGGAAAATGAATAAAAACTTAAATAAATAGAAATTGATTCATATTCATTAAAAATTACTTAATTATTGGGTAAATAATCAAATTAGAATAATAATTGAATTTATTATAATAAAATTATCATGATTCAATTAAAAAAAAGTAATCTACATTAAAGAATCAGTAAAAATTCAAAGAAAATTGTAAATTATGAATTTAATATATTTTTTAGATGATTCATAAATTAATAATCTTCGTTTATCATTAAATAATAAACAAAAATAAATTAATAAGCTTAATTGGTTAACATAATAAACTGAATCATAATTTTCATAATTATAAATAGTATCATATCCTTTATTGCTAACATTTTCATAATCATTTAAAAATAATAATTGTTCAATAACTTAAAATGAAAAACTTGTTGTTGAAACTAATAAATTTGTGCTTATGTTAAATGTATTTGTGACCAAATGATTCCAAAAAAATGGATTAGTTAAATTTGCATTTAAAATATTAGATCTTAATGTAATGATAGGAATAGGTTTTAGAGATATTATATAAAAGAATAATTATGAAAATTCATATGAGATTGGAAAAGGGTATTTATTATTATCATATATTAATAATAGAACATATTATATTAATTATAATGGTAATTATTACAATCATGATTAATAAAATAAAAATGATAAATAGATTTCATTTAAATTACAAAAAATGATATGATTATAATAGAAGTTGATATTTAGAATAAGCATGTTAAATGGATTAAATAATTGATAAATGAATCATTTGTAAATATTAAATTATATACTAAGATACTCAACAAACATAGACACATCATAAGATCTTTATCCATTTGTTAATTTAGTTTATAAATCTCAAGTGGAAATATTAAGTCAATTCAACAAATGAATAAAATATTACATTAAATAGATAAAAAATATAAAAATTAAATAGTTTAAAATATTATCAATATCCTGATGATTTTGACTTTGAATTATTAATTTCATACCCAGAAACAAGTCTAGTTCACATTAATACTAAAGAAGACTGGATTTTAATCCCTTAAACAATAATATCGAAATTCTTAAGATCAGAGAAATGATATAATTATCTTACTTTAGCTGAATCTCCTACTCATAAATACTGTATTTAATGCACTTTGTAAACTGTAAATGTTCTATAAATAAGAAGGAGTTTTTAGGAAACACCTTGAGTTAGATTTTGATGGCACTACGACTCATAAACTTACATTATGGAACCTAAACCTAATGTTAAGCCTAAAGCCTCTATTGATAAACCTTATAGCTAATATGATGAATGAGTGAATAAGAAATGGGTTAAAGTCTTCGCCTGTAAGATTATTTATGACCATTTATTTATGCTTGATTATGACCTTGCCTTGATAAACAAAGAGAATCCTGTTGTATGACTGCTTCGTAAAATAGCAATAAATTAAAAAATAATATATAACCATAAATCGTACTTTGTGATCAGCTAAAGAGAGTTTGTCTCTCAACTGAACTCGAACTTAAGATTCTTCAAATCTCATCTTAAATTGTTTTAGACTTAATTCTGATAATAGCGTATGCTTATCTTGACTTTGTTTGTTGTTTAGGATGGTCAGTTCTAGCAGAAGATTTGATTTGCAGAGTACTATTCAAAAGTTTTCCCTTTTAGATTTTGGGAAGAAGCTTCCAGAATTTCGTTTATTCGAAATAGTTACATCTGATTAAGAATAAATAGTTGTATTAGATTAATGTGAGGAACATCTACTTTATAAATTTTTGATCATGATAAGCATTAAGAAAATGAAAAATTTGATATTTAAAAGAGCATTCTCACATTAAGAGGAACTAGTGAATAATAAAATAGATAAGTTAGTTATTTCAAACTATATAATCATCATCTTTTAAAACATAATTTAAGTTAAATATCTTTTATATTGGAATATTTAGGCAATTTTTGAAAGATTTTTCATTAGGAGTAAGAATTTAACCTTTAGTAAATAAATTGAAAGTTTAAATAAACTGATTTTAAAATATACAAAATTCATTTAGATTACTAAAATATATAATACAGGTAAATAAAATTTATTTATCTTAACTTAATTTTATAATTTTTTAATTTCAAGTAAAAATGAAAAGCATAATTTAAAAAGAAATTTCACTGGTTAAAATTATACAAAATATAGGAAATTATGATATTTACAATCTTGTAAATAATTATTCAGTTATATTTAAATAATGATTTTTATTTTCTATTTAAAATTAATTTTTTCGAAATCATACTCAATATGTAGAACTAAACTTATTGAGAAGTATTGTTACTTTTAAATCGATTAAAATAATTATATATTGCGGATCAAATCACCCTTTTGTCTTTATTTCATAAAAGCTAGATTTAACAAAAACACATTTTAATTCTTAAATATTTTTAATTTTTTTATTTTAATAACTAAATCATATAAATTTTGAGATATTAATTTAAGAGTAATTTTAGAATGTTTTAATTGTTTTTATACATTGATTTGATATTATTAAACTTCTAATAGATCCTGATATCTTTATAGAATTATAAAAAATCCTTTTGTATATGTAAAACTAAAAATGGTTATGATGATCAGATGATAATTTAAGAGTCAAGATATCAATAAACAAAATCTATCTCTTATTTTCATATTAATTATGCATTTAGGCATTAAATTTAATAAGTATTCAAAAAATATTAATATTCAGTTATGAATTAATCAAATCGATAGATCGAATTTCTAATGATGAAAAAATTAGATTAAATTGTATTTAAATTAGACTCACTCTTTAATTCTCAATAGAGCACTAATAAACATCCTTCTTGCTAAAAAATAGGGTGTAGATTTAGTGTTCATTACCATTGGACTCTAGTTATCAAAGTTTTATAGAGTCCCATTAGAAATTATTCCAATTATGTGATTTCCGACAATAATGATTCAATTTTTTCGTATAGAGTCTCTGACAAAGATTCTTCATTCATATATTCACCTTTAGCATTCCCTCTTAAATATTTCATAATGAATCTTTATTCTTATTCAATTATCTGTGTAGATTTAAGTGGAGAATCAAAACTGTCCATATTCTAATGCGATTTAGTTCCAATAAGTTCTAAGATACTTACCTTGATATATCAATTTTCATTCTCAATTGAATTTATTATGGTTANTTAACTTAATTTTATAATTTTTTAATTTCAAGTAAAAATGAAAAGCATAATTTAAAAAGAAATTTCACTGGTTAAAATTATACAAAATATAGGAAATTATGATATTTACAATCTTGTAAATAATTATTCAGTTATATTTAAATAATGATTTTTATTTTCTATTTAAAATTAATTTTTTCGAAATCATACTCAATATGTAGAACTAAACTTATTGAGAAGTATTGTTACTTTTAAATCGATTAAAATAATTATATATTGCGGATCAAATCACCCTTTTGTCTTTATTTCATAAAAGCTAGATTTAACAAAAACACATTTTAATTCTTAAATATTTTTAATTTTTTTATTTTAATAACTAAATCATATAAATTTTGAGATATTAATTTAAGAGTAATTTTAGAATGTTTTAATTGTTTTTATACATTGATTTGATATTATTAAACTTCTAATAGATCCTGATATCTTTATAGAATTATAAAAAATCCTTTTGTATATGTAAAACTAAAAATGGTTATGATGATCAGATGATAATTTAAGAGTCAAGATATCAATAAACAAAATCTATCTCTTATTTTCATATTAATTATGCATTTAGGCATTAAATTTAATAAGTATTCAAAAAATATTAATATTCAGTTATGAATTAATCAAATCGATAGATCGAATTTCTAATGATGAAAAAATTAGATTAAATTGTATTTAAATTAGACTCACTCTTTAATTCTCAATAGAGCACTAATAAACATCCTTCTTGCTAAAAAATAGGGTGTAGATTTAGTGTTCATTACCATTGGACTCTAGTTATCAAAGTTTTATAGAGTCCCATTAGAAATTATTCCAATTATGTGATTTCCGACAATAATGATTCAATTTTTTCGTATAGAGTCTCTGACAAAGATTCTTCATTCATATATTCACCTTTAGCATTCCCTCTTAAATATTTCATAATGAATCTTTATTCTTATTCAATTATCTGTGTAGATTTAAGTGGAGAATCAAAACTGTCCATATTCTAATGCGATTTAGTTCCAATAAGTTCTAAGATACTTACCTTGATATATCAATTTTCATTCTCAATTGAATTTATTATGGTTAGGTTATATATTATTAAATTACCTCAAGTTAAATTTTATTTTTTTATAATAATACTAGCCCTTTTTTAGATACAGTTGAAGAATTTACATTCATAGGGTTCAATCTGTATACCACCATAAACTTTACTTAATTTTTAAAATTGGATTAAGTAATTAGCAAGGAGTCAAATTTTATTACATAAAAGTCTTCTTCACGTTTCAATAGCTATCTTGTTCATGGATATAGAACTAAATTACCTTATCATTTTAATAAATGGGCAAATCCATTCACCCTCTCTGGCTTATTAATAAAAGGTGCAGGAAAAGTCCATTTTAGTATCTATACACTATTGTGGCTAACCATTCAATTAACATTTTTAGATTTCTAATTTCTATTATTCTTCTTAATTAATATTTTTCATCATTGAGGTATTAAATTTGTCTTATTCAGTTAGAAGCTTTTATGGTGTGAGATTAGTATGATGGTTCACTTAGATGGGTTTTCCAGATACCCGATTAGAGCTAATTACCCACCTCAGATATTTTCACCTGAACTAGCTTAGAAACTATTGTATTTAGTTTGTTTCTTTTTATTTTTTGTATGAGGAGAGAAAACAAGATATAACTACATCCAGTCATTCTTATTTTCTTCACTAAAACCCAATTTAGAAGTTCACATATAAATAAGTTACGGAAGGGGAGGAGTGACTTAGGACCCTTCTATCACCGATCAAGGGGTCTTAAGCCTTGGGTTAAAAGACTAGAATTCTAAGGTCTAGTGTTCCAATTATTTTGATGCATAAAAATAATTATTCTTCACTGTGAGAGCCAAAGAGCTATAGTCTATTAAAATTTTGACTTTTAAATATCAAATATTAAATGATAGACTATCACTTAAACTTTGATACATTATTCTTATGAAAAATGATGTACAATAAAAGTGACTACATCCAAATATAATAAGAAATCCCTCTCAAAGCTAAATTCATCCAATCTTTTCTAAATTATTTTTATTATGTAATGAAAGTTCTACTTTTAGCTTTATAGAGAGAGGCATTGAGTTTTTTGAAATTACTTTTTTTTCATAATGTTTAATAGCTAAACTGCTTGAACAAAACTACATTCATTAATAATGTAAAATGCTTTTAATTATAAATACTTAAACTCAAATTGAGACTAATTTTATATTGAGAAGAAAAGTAAAATAATTAAAATAATTTGAAATATCGTAATTTATCAACAAATATTTTTATATATCTTAGGTTTCATAATTAAGCCAATTTTAGTTATACTTATTTTTAAAACTAAGTGCCAAATTTATTAATAAAAAAAATGAATTATTTTCAATTTAAATTTTTGTTATGATTATTATAAATCTAGTAATAATCAAAAACATATATCAATTTATATATATTATAAGAAATAAAAAAATTGAAGAGAAAAGTTAGAATT